GTGAGGGTTGAGAGGAAAATTCAGAATCCCCTCAAAACTGCGGGTTTATTCTGTCCCATTTCCAGAATATGCTACCGCTAAGTATCTCGGCCAAATATCAAAAGACCCTGGGAACAGCTAATCAGTGTTATTCAAATGATTGACATAATCCCGAGGTGTTTGGTTGCTATCACACTTCACACCTATAGAGGCGGCAGTTCTGTGGGGCAAATCAGTGCTAACAGCAGGCACCACAGGGTCGAATAATGCCCTGGCTCGGCCCTTGGAAAGGTGTGCTATCAGATTAGGTTGCGAAAATGAACGGCGAGCTACCGAGTTCTCAAGGTGATAAGAATGATAAGAAGTTAGCAGACTGAAGACATAGTAATGAAGCTCTATGGATTCACATAATTGTATTAAATATTGGGCAGGACAAAATAAGAGGCCTGGGGCTAAATAAACGCCTGAAGCGGTGTGGTGCAGTTCGCAGGATGACCTGCTGGACTGCTGGGCCTTCAGGGGTAGACTAATTGGTACCGGGCCTATCTCGGGCTGCAGAATGGTAACAATGGTTAGTGTAGTACAGCTTACTCTTCCAGGTGAGCCTTATCTTGAGCGATTTCTTCCCCCTATCTCTTCGGTAGTTTCAGGAGGGGGATTCGTGAGTACCCTTCAACTTTGTCAGCAGCCCTTAAGCCCTGTGAGCTCCCGTCAAGCTTGCCGGGACGGTACTGGGAAACTTGGGGATAGCGCGAAATGACTATTACTTTAGTGTAGGTGAACTATGTCTCATGGAATTTTCCCTGTAGTCCTTCATCCAACCCCATCTTCTTGGTCTTTCATTGCTCACGGTCAGTATTCTCAGGTTGATAGTTTACATACATGCCCATTTCTCCCTATCCCCCCAACCAACATTCTTTTTGTTTGATCCTCAGTAAGAGCTTTGAGGTTGAAGGAGTGTCTGCTCACATGATTATATTTAAGTCAAAGGGGGCCATATTTGTGTTCAGATCCCAAGGCATTCGAATTAAGGACGTTTGACTGTAAGCTTCTCATTATAAGGAGCGGTGTGAAGATGGCGCTAAGAAATGACTGTGAACCAGGAGATGGATTTCTAAGTCTTACCTCACTGGGGAATAGGGCACGTCCTGCCGCTGGGGAAAGTTCTTCTAAAATACTACCCCACTCCCTCAAAATGTCCTCCTTTGACGCTACCCTCCCCTTCCCCATACCCCATCCCACTTATCATTTTCATAAGATTTTCCATCTTCCCGCCCTCTTCCCCCGGGGTATTTCTCCAAACTTCGAAATTTCTTCAGTTTTCCCCCAAAAAAATGTCGCTGAGCGAGGAGAGATGAGGAGGGGTAGGGTAATATGTAGCGCACCTAGAAAAAGGAAAGGCGTGAATGGTCAACAACCGAAAACCTTTTCATAAAGGCAGATGCGGCTCTGTATTTTTTTGATTTTTTTTGTTTCTATGCCTATACCAACTACATATTTGTGTAATAAATAGTAAAGATGCCACTCTATCTTTCTCTCTCTCTACGTCGACGAG